AAAAAAAAAAAAAAAAAAGAATTAGTTAAGGGTCAGAAATGGTCCTCTAAGAAAATGCAGCACCTACATACCAAAGCCTGAGAGGGTGACTCCTTTTGGAGGGGTGAAAGAATGTTCATTAAAGAGAAGATGTTGTAGCTGGACATGGTGGCACACAGCCACAGACCCAGCACTCGGGAGGCTGAGAAATAGGATCACTTGAGCCCAGGAATTTGAAATTAGCCTGGGCAGTATAGTAAGGGCCCATCTCAAAAAGAAATGGACAAAACAAAGAGTAAGATCTGGGATGTTAACTGGAAGGATGTGGGAGGTGATCACACACACTATGGCAGGAAGGCGACCATGCACCCAATGCTAAGAGTTTGGACTTGCTCTGGAAGTCAGTAGAAGTTAAACAGGGAGGAAAACAGGCAACTCTGTTGGTAGTGTGAAGAGCACACCGAGGGAATAGAGATTGTGTGTGGGGTGCACTGTGGAGCGATGGTGGGAGCTAGAGCTAAGGTCGAGTCAGTGATGGCAGAGAAGAGGAAGCACTGAACTGGGTTCAAGAGAGCCTGTGGGACCAAGCAAGCCATTACTATGAGGACTGGAGAGGTTGAGACTAACTTCCAAGTTCTGATTTGCCAAGGCAATGATGGTCCCTCAGAGCTATAAACAATCTCAGAGAATATGCAGCTGTCATAGGGTCCTGCCTTTATAGCTTTTATTTTATTTTATTTTATTTAAATTTATTTTAAAGAGTAAAAGGATAACACAGTCATAGGGGGGGCTTACCAAATTACAGACAAAATGGTAGGAAATTATCAGTTACTGTTTTACATATTGTTATCTACAAGATAGTTTCTCAGGAAAACAGACAAATAGTAGTGAGTTACAGACAAAAGTGGTAGGAGATTGTCAATAGTTGTTGTACTATACTTTGGTATCTTCAAAGTGGCTTCTAAAGAAAATAAATAGAGCTATACATGAGTGACCAGTTGAATAATCATTGACTATTCTCAATGGTTGTTGTAGGAAACACATAATAATAAACATACATCCATTTATGAAATAGCATAGGAACAATGCAAACATTACAGAGTTATGGA